TCGTGGGGGGGGGGCGATACGATATGAGCCCCCCCCCCAAGCGCTGGCTGTGGATTTGGCAGCAGAGGCATCGCTCATTAGCGTGACGGAGTGGCGTGTCATCTCGGAGGCCTCTTTCCTCCTGCGCCAGCCAGCGCCGGGGCCAGTTCCCCGGGTAATGGCCTGGCTCCCGCGGTGGGCCAGGGAGAGGATCCAGAAGGGAGACGGGAGGGTCTCGCTTGGCTCTTGCCCACCCGCAGCCTGGGGAGGGGGGAGAATCCGTGCCAATGAGCCACTGATCAATCCGCGGGACTTAATGGTGGCCTGCCGCTTCTCCTTCCCCAGCTCCTGAAGGGAAGCGCTCCTCGGGGCTGACGGCCGTCTGGGTGGCTCGGAACCGCTTCGCCGTTCTGGATCGCATGCACTCGGTAAGGGCTCCTTCCAGGAAGAGGCGTCCTCTCCGGCGATGCGCTTACACCTTCCTCGTAAACCTCCGCTGGTCCTGTGTCTGAAGCCCACATGGGAATCATGGCCGATGCGGGCATCAATCCCTTTTTGGCCGACCCCAGGGGCTCTGTCGCCTGTGGAATTCTCTTCCTTCCGGGTGGACCGGACGTTTCCCTAAAACAAGGCCAGGCTTGCACGCAGTGTGATTGAAAAAAAAAGGGGAACGACAACCCCCTTTTTTGCTGAACGGAGCTCGCCGGCTGGCCTTGGAGGAAGGCAGGCCAACAGAGCCTTCCAGTTTTCCCCCCACTGACCTTTTAAGTGCTTCATGCATTCCAGAGAGAGAGAGACTCCAGAACCCACAGAAGCTTTTGTCCATCTTGAAATAAAAGGCCCAGCATGGTGCAGTCTGAGGGACGATGGACGTTGTCTTCAGCGGCATCTAAGAGAATCCTTGTTTGGTCACGAATCTTGCTGGCTGGCCAGTCCCTAGATCCAAAGCCTACCTCACAGTACCGTTGTAAGGGAGAGGGCGAAGCATTTTAAGAATTAAAATGAACATACAGTGTGTACTTGAGGTGTGTTTCCTAGCAAGGCCCAGTTTAAAGGGATCTTAATGAATGCTCTCGTCCACTGGGCATTTTAACGACGATTCCATTTAGAGGCAGCCTTCTTACTCCAGAGGTGCTGAGCGGTGGCTTTTTCTGCCGTTTTCCTGTCTTCCCACCTAACATGCCTTCTCTCCCCACTCTGTCAGCTTTTGTTGGTGTTATTATGGGCTGTTGGGTTGTACTGACTTATGCCAATCCCAGTAAATTTTTCAAGATATGTGAGCTATTTAAGGAGAGGCTTTACCATTTCTACACACACCCTCCAGTGAATTTTGCTAGTTGACCAGGGATTTGAACTCACTGCTCCTGAATCCTACTCAGTCACTTTTACCGGCTGCCCCGCCCTAGCTTCTCAGATGTTGGTGTTGCTGGCTTAAGGGCCACGGCAGCCTATGTTTTCAGGGGCGTGTGGGTGGGGATTTAATCCAGAAATGGGTGGAAACGTCGCTGAGCAAGGCTGAGATGTAGGCAAGAGGTCCTGAGGCAGTGAAGAATCTCCTCCATCTGGAGGTCAAGTTTTTTTTAAATCTCTCCATTTGGCCGGTGCCCCTTCTGCGTCTTGAGTTCGGTCTTGTTCCTTCCTCTGCTTGATCCCTTTCCTTCTCTTGCCTCCCGTAATGCCAGATTCTCATCAAGAACCTGAAGAACGAGATTACTAAAAAAGTCCAGGTTCCAAACTGTGACGAGATCTTCTACGCCGGCACCGGAAACCTGCTGCTGAGGGACGCCGACTCCATCACCCTTTTTGACGTCCAGCAGAAACGGTATGGACCTCGGCCAGGCAGAGGGTTTCTGACCCGGAAGTATGTGTGGATCATCTCCTCTGGACTGCTGCTGCTGCTGCTCGGGGCTGGCAAAGTTTGTTTCTGTCCCCCCCCCCAAAAGTTCCTGCTTGCCAGGTGCCCTGAAGGCAATAGGTGGAGGGGTTGGATTCTTGCCTCCAAGACCCGTTCCTTGGGAGGAAGGCCGAAGCCCTCCCCGTCGGCTGCATGGATCTGGGCCAGTTGCCGACTTGTCCCAAATGGTAAAGGTTTGGTTTCTGCGAGGGGCCGGTGCCCGGAGCCCAGCATTCTGGTTCCTCCACAAAGAGCCCATGATTTCCTGGAGACGACCCCCAGGCTATCAGTAGCCGCTGGGACTCGGGAGCTGCAGTTCGGTGGCTGAAAGGGAGACCCACAAGAAGGGGGAAAGGGGTATTTGGCTATCACTTGGAAGCGGTCATTTATTCCATGGTGGAGGGGGCGCGCGAGGGTGTAAAAAAGTTCCCTCTTGAGAACTGCTTTAAAGCCAGGGACACAATTATACTTCCAAAGTCTGGCAATTAAATAAAAAGTCCTAATTACTTTTTAAGGTGTTTTTAAAATGCATTTTGCCGTAAATTTGTTCAAGTTTTTTTGTAGTCCTCAAACACCATAATCATAATCATAATCATAATCATAATCATAATAATAATAATAATAATAATAATAATGCTGCATCCGCTTGAGTGACTCCTTCAAATAAAAGCAAGTCAAGTCCAGCTCGAGAGCTCCGGGGTTGAGATCTCTGGCTACAGAGCCAGAGGTTGGGAATTGGATTCCCCCACCAGGGCCTCCTTGACAGGGGCTGGACTGGATGATCTTATAGGACCCCTTCCAGCTCTGCCATTTTAAGAGGATGATGATTTAAGTAACAGCAAGTAAGGTGTTGTTGGAAACAGGAGCAGAAGGCTTTCGGAAAATGAAGTCCCTCTGGGCCCTGCCTTTCTGCCTGGTCTGTGGACTACAGAAGACCCCCCCCCTCACCGAGACACCGCCTGTCCCCCACTGACAGCCAGAGGGGGCAGTTGACGCCTGCACGCTCGCCTAGGGCCAAATGGAGAGCCAAAAGGGCAGTGGGCGGGAGGAGCAGGTTGCTGACCCCCTTCAGCATCCCCCTCCCCACTATTGCTGGGATAAAAGAGAGAGCACTTTCTCTCTCTCTCTTTTGACACGGTGGTGGTTTCTCCCAGGACTCTGGCCTCGGTCAAGATCTCCAAGGTGAAATATGTCATCTGGTCGGCCGACATGTCCCACGTGGCCCTCCTGGCGAAGCACGGTAAGAAGAGGGAAGCCTCCGCCCCCGCCCCTTGCGGGCTGCGCCGCGAACGTCTTGGCCCGTCGGTTGGGACTTTAACGGTGGTCGCTGCTCCTTTGAAAACTGGAAGCGGGAGAGGTGTCTCTGCCTTTGTGGGGAATCCTCTCCCGTGGTTGAGCCGAGAGGGAAAGCTCCTTCTGTCTTGTCTCCCTGCGCAGGGTCCGTTTCGGTGAGCGTTCTTTAAAAGAGCGAGCCGTCTCCTGTTCTGTCTCTCTCTCTCCCCTTCTGCAGCCATCATGATTTGCAACCGGAAACTGGAATCCCTCTGCAATATCCATGAAAACATCCGGGTCAAGAGCGGAGCGTGGGACGAGAGCGGGGTCTTCATCTACACCACGAGCAACCACATCAAATATGCCGTCACCACCGGGTCAGCCGGCAGCTTATATCCGAATCATTCTTTTCTAGCTTTTAATCTTAATGTCCTTCATGATGTTACCTTCGTGGGCTCCTTTGTTAAAGGGAAAGGCCTGAGAAATACATTTAAAAATCAATCAGTAAAGAGGCAAAGTTGCAGGTGGCCAGTGACCTCCTTTGGTAGGGGGAGTTTGATGTCAGCAAAACAAGGCAAACCTGTAGCCCAGTAAATTTCTCCACAAATCTTCGGGGTTTCTTCTGTGGGACGAAGTGGCTTTCTTCTCCCCTCCCACTTCTTATTGGACACTGAAGCTGCCTCCTCTCTCCTCTCGGCCTCTCCCTTACCCTCCTCTTCTGACCGATCTCCTTCCAGGGACCACGGGATCATCCGCACTCTGGACCTGCCCATCTACGTGACCCGGGTCAAGGGGAATAATGTCTACTGCCTGGACCGCGAGTGCCGCCCTCGGGTCCTGACCATCGACCCCACAGAGTTCAAGTTCAAGCTGGCCCTGATCAACCGGAAATATGATGAGGTGAGGGCTGGGCGCCCCCGGGCATGGTGGGCATCGATGCCGAGGGACAAGCCGAAGGCGCTGACCGAGTCCCCTCTACTTGCTTACTCCTTTTTTCCCCTTATTTCCCTGCTTTTCTCTCTCTCTCTCTCTCTCTCTCTCTCTCTCTCGGTTCCAGGTGCTTCACATGGTGCGGAACGCCAAGCTGGTGGGCCAGTCCATCATCGCTTACCTCCAGAAGAAGGGCTACCCGGAGGTGGCCCTCCACTTTGTCAAAGATGAGAAGACCCGCTTCAGCTTGGCCCTGGAGTGTGGGAATATCGAGGTGAGGCTCAGCGCTACCTTCTCTTCTGTTTCCTCTCCGAGCCCGCGGGGCTTATATGAAGTTTTTTCTTCTTCGTTAGAGCCTCCCGGTTAGGGCTCCGGCTGACGGTCACAATGGGTCAGTGGATAAGGACCGGCTTTCCTTCCACCCTGTTCAGGCCGTCGGGCAGGGCGGGGGACGGCGGCCTGCGTTCACCCCCAGGCCTGTGTTCTTCTCGGTCCTCTCAGATTGCTCTGGAAGCCGCCAAGGCCTTGGACGACAAGAACTGCTGGGAGAAGCTGGGAGAAGTGGCTTTGCTCCAGGGGAACCACCAGATCGTGGAGATGTGCTACCAGCGCACCAAAAACTTCGACAAGCTCTCCTTCCTCTACCTGATCACGGGAAACCTGGAGAAGCTGCGCAAAATGATGAAGATCGGTGAGTCTTGGGACGGGGGGCGCGGGTGGGTGGCGCTTGAACCCTTCCAACCTGGAGACACGCAACGCACGTTGACCGTCCCTCCCGGTTTGCCTTGCTTGGTGTCTAATCCGACACGCAGTCTTCATTCCTTGACCACGTTCAACCGCAGACACGCACAATCACACCCCATGGCTGCAGCAAACATTCAGGCCTCCCCTACAATGACTACCGCTGCTGCTGCCCCTCCACTTTCTAACCCGCCTTGTCTTCCTCCTGTGTCGCTCCAGCCGAGATCCGGAAGGACATGAGCGGGCACTACCAGAACGCCTTGTACCTGGGGGACGTGGCCGAGAGGGTGAGGATCCTGAAGAACTGCGGTCAGAGTAAGTTTTTTTGGCACCCCTTCCCAGTCTCTGTCCGGCTTCTGGTCCATGCTCTCTTTTGGGGCAGGATCAGGCCAAGCTGCTTCCTTCACCGTGGCCCCCTTCCCCTCTCTCTCTCTCTCTCTTGCGTCTTGCCAGAGTCTCTGGCCTACCTGACGGCTGCCACGCACGGCCTGGAGGAGGAAGCCATGAACCTGAAGGAGACCTTCGACCTGGAAAAGGAGACGGTGAGTCCCAAGACGGCAGGAGGGTGTGTGTGTGTGTTTGTGTGCGTCTGTGTGATGGTTCCAGTTGGTGTTCTCGTGGAAGAGTTCTCCGTGGTCCAGAGGGGCAGGAGGGGGGTGTCTGCTTGTCTGTGGCTTGCTGGTCACGGCGGCTCCATTTTTGAACCCCGGCCTCCAAGGGGGGCTGAGTGCAGCTCCGCGGAGATGGTCGGCGGGTTATCCCGGGACGAAGCTCCTCCTTGCTGAGGCCGGTCAACCGTTGCAGTGGAGAGGCCGAGCTTTTTCCGAATTGCTTTGAGATCGTTTTCAAAGAACGTTTTTGACGCTTCTAATTGGACTCACTCAGAAGTTGATCCTGTTTGTATTCGTGGATAGTCAGACTCCCTCCCATGCGAGAGAGAGAGAGAGAGAGAGAGAGAGATTAAGAAGCGTAAACCCATTCTTTGGAAAGGTCAACCGTTGCAGTGGAGAGGCCGAGCTTTTTCCGAATTGCTTTGAGATCGTTTTCAAAGAACGTTTTTGACGCTTCTAATTGGACTCACTCAGAAGTTGATCCTGTTTGTATTCGTGGATAGTCAGACTCCCTCCCATGCGAGAGAGAGAGAGAGAGAGAGAGAGAGATTAAGAAGCGTAAACCCATTCTTTGGAAACCCGCTGTACTTTCTCCCTCCCATGCGAGAGAGAGAGAGTAAGAAGCATAAACCCATTCTTTGGAACCCCGCTGTAAGATCCCATTTCACAAAGCAGATCCCGGAGATCGACCCAGACGCCCAGCTGCTCCAGCCGCCGGCCCCCGTCATGCCACTGGACACCAACTGGCCCCTGCTGACCGTCTCCAAGGGCTTCTTCGAAGGCACCATCGCCAGCAAAGGTGAGGAGGGAGGAGGAGACTCCCGGGGCCGCCGGTCCCCTCTCGGGGGCCTTGCAGGGCAGGGCCGTGCGGGGAGGCGAAAGGCGGAGGGGCTTTGGAGGCACAGCGGCGCGGGACCCTTCCAAGGGCAGACTGCGGCCCTCGGCGACACTGGCCTGCAAACGTCTCAGTTTTTATTTGGTCACCTCTGTCCAAATCCCACTTGTCTTTTCCTTCCTGTTTTCATTTCATGTCAGCACCTCTCGTGAAAGGTCAGGAATCAGGGGGAAAGGGCTTGCCCATCTTGGGGGGCGACCCCATCCACCGACCGCTCTTGGCCCTTTTTACTACCCCAGCCAGCCTGCGCCCGGTTCTCGGGACGGTCCCGAGGAATTCAGGAGGTTGACCGACCTCTGGGGCTTCTCTTTCGTTGCAGGTAAAGGAGGGGCCTTGGCGGCCGATATTGACATCGACACCGTGGGCACCGAAGGCTGGGGGGAGGATGCCGAGCTGCAGCTGGATGAAGGTGAGATCTCGGGGTTCGAATCCAGGGGCGGTTCCAGTCATCTTAGAATGGTGGAGTTGGAAGAGATCCCTCTAAGATCATCCAGTCCAGCTCCCGTCAAGGAGGCACCGGGGGGGGGGATTTGAACTCCCAACTTCTGTTCCCCTGCCAGCCGGCCCTTCCCGTCACGTTGCCCTCTGTAAATTTCGGCTGAACTCTCCGTTCGTGTCATTCGAACTCCCCTCAATTCAGATCCTGCTCCCGGGAGCAGCAGAGAGCCAGCTTGTTCCATATCCCGCACACAGTGACCCCTTTTGAATATCACAGGATAGCCACCAGATCTCCACTTGGAAGGAGGTCTTCGAATTGCCTGCCACAGCCAAAGGGGTCAGACTAGATGCCCCGAAGCCCTGGCGAAAGGCCAGGAGGAAGGCGGTGGATGGGAAATCGAAGAGGACCTGGACCTCCCGCCTGAACTGGTAAAAACCGCCTCCACTACCCTGAATGTCCTGGTAAAAGGGTGGAATTCCCTGTCCGTTTTCCCAAAGGGTGAGCCCTCCTTGGTCTTCCTTCACTCATGTATGGAGAAGCCACTGCCTTGAGGTCCAATCCTGTGTCCTCTGGGGCTCCCAGAGACGGTCGCCCTCCCTTTCACCTTCCGGGTCAGCGTGGTTTGGTGGTGCTTGCCCCGTTTCTCTATGGCCTTCCCTGGTCCCAAAAGATGGCAAGGACCTCTTTGGAAGGTTTCCTGCCAGGAGGCGCTTTCGGCTTCAATTCAGCTGGTGTGATGGGCCCATCGGCTGGCCTCTCCAGGTGGGCGATGATGGTGCTTTTGCGCCTTGGGCTGGGGGGGGGGAAGCAGCTTCTCTTGCTTTCCCGTGGGGCCCTGGGCAATCTCTGTCTTTGCCACCCCATATCCTGGATGGAAAGGGTCCCGCTTTGCCCCTTTCTCCAATCCTGGGCGTCCTTTTCCACCAGAGGGGGACAGACTGGGCCCCTCCATTACCTACGCAGATGGCCAGAGGAGGACCGCAGGGGCAGAGAGAGGTCCCCGGGAGGAGGGGTGCCTTTTGTTTCACAGAATCCTAGAATAACGGACCCGGAAGGAGCCTCTACGGCCATCGAGTCCAACCCCCTTGGCATCCTGATCAAAGCAGACCGGACAGAAAGGGTGGCCCAGTTTTCTCTTGAATTTCCTCCCGGGTTGGAGCGCTCGGCCCCTCTTGAGGTCACGGGTTCCGTCGTCGTACTGCTCTAACCGTTAAGAAGTTTTTCCTGATATTCAGCCGAAATTTGGCTTCCTGCCAGTTGAGCCCGTTATTTCTGTTGGGCCTTCTGCCCTCTGGGAGGATCAAGAACGAATCCTGTCCCTCCTCTGTATGGGACTGCCTTTCCAGGATTGGGAAAGTAGGCCAAGACCTCCCTCTGGTCTCTCGGCGGCTGCCCAGGAGCGCCTGGTTTTGCGTCGTCCTGAAGTCATGGGGAAGGCCGTCCTTATTTTTCCTTCTCTTTCTTTCTTTCTGCCAGGACGTGGCGGCAGGCCCTGCCGGGGAAGCCGAAGACGGCTTCTTCGTTCCCCCCACCAAAGGGACCAGCCCTGCACAGGTGAGGAGGAAGACGACGAGGGGGGCTTGTGGAGTGAGGGGGGCGGAATCGGGGCACCTCCAAACCTATCTCCCAGGATCGAGCCTTCCCCCCCCCCACTTATTTATTTTATTTATTTTTTAAATTTATACCCCGCCCCTCTAGACCATGTCTACTTGGGGCAGCTTACAACATAAAATAAATCAATATAAAATATATATTGATGGCAGGGCTGGGAGCATTTTGCCCCCCCCCCATCGCCCTGGACAGGGTGGCCCTAACAGGACAGCCTGCCTTTCTCTCTCCCCCCACCCCACTCCCCACCGCAGGTCTGGTGCAACAATTCGCAGCTGCCGGTGGACCACGTCCTGGCAGGGTCCTTCGAGACGGCCATGCGGGTAAGTGGCCTCCGGAGGGAAGGCGCCCTCACCCCCCAGGGGTAGCTCCCCCCCCAAAAAAAACATCCGTGGGGTTTAAACCTGAGCCCTGACAGCCAGGAACTGAGTCGTGGGAGGGTCTTGAAGGTCTCGGGTGGTGGTGATGGGGGAAACAGCAAAAAAAGATGAGAAACTGCACAACAGTGGGAAGAATTGTGTGGTCCTTGGGAGGGCCAGATGGAGATGCTTGGGGGGGCACAGAATCTGTGAAGCCACAAAGAGGAGCAGATTGGTAGTTCCGAGCCGGCAGTTTTGATCCTTGATTCCAGCTCCCCCCCTCCCCCCCCAAGGGGCTGAAAAGGGTCCCCCAGCCTCAGCCAGAGGCCCTTCCTGGTGCCCGAGACGGGAGGGCCCCCCAGCCCTGCTGCTTTTTCTCCCACAGGAAAAGCTCAATACGGCCTTGGGAGGTTGGGGGGGGGGTTAGTTTTCTGAGACTTTTCCTAGCCAAGCCGGAGAGTCGAGCGCCCACGGGGGACCCCTTTCTCTCCTGTTTCAGCTCCTCCACGACCAGGTGGGCGTGGTGACCTTTGCCCCCTACAAGCCGCTCTTCCTGCAGACCTTCGCCCGGGGCCGCACCGCCTACCAGGCTCTGCCCAGCCTCCCCGCCATGTACGGGTACCCCCACCGCAACTGGTAAGTGGCCCGCCCTGGGCGCAGTGTCTTCTTGCCTCGCAGGGTTGGCGTGAGGGGGGGGGCTGTGGGCATTCATGCCCATGCTTTGGGCCCATTTCTCACACCAACACCTGATTTCCCTGTCCCCCTTCCCCCTCCCATCCCAGGAAGGAAGCCGGGTTGAAAAACGCCCTCCCGGCCGTCGGCCTGAAGCTGAACGACCTGATCCAGCGCCTGCAGCTGTGCTACCAGCTGACCACGGCCGGCAAGTTCGAGGAGGCCGTGGAGAAGTTCCGCGCCATCTTGCTGAGCGTCCCGCTGCTGGTGGTCGACAACAAGCAGGAGATTTCCGAGGTGGGTGGCCTCTTGTCTATCCGTCGGTCGGTCGGTCTCTCTCTCTCTCTGGTGCATCATCGGCTAATCCAGGGGGACGGGTCCTCTCCTCCCTCTTTGGCCTGAAAATCTGTCGAAAGGTTGCCGAAGTTCTCTTCCTCTGGAACGGGTGCCGCGTCCCCCTCGGGTCGCCTGAAACGAAGCCCCCCCCAAACTCTGCCCGGGGGGGAGGCTTCCCTTTCCGTTGTACGCTGGCGTGTGAGCGAGTTTCCACCCACCACCTTCGCTCCGAGCTGCGCACACCTTTCTGAGGCCCATCCTGGTCCTGCACACACACACACCGAGAAGCGTTGCTCTTTATTTATTTCCCCCAGTCTCTGCTCTTTCGTGGTGTGTGTGTGTGGGAGTGTGTGTCTTTCTCAGAAATATCCCACCCCAGTGTTGCCTCTCCAATCTCCCTGCAGGCGCAGCAGCTGATTGCCATCTGCCGGGAATACATCGTGGGCCTCTCCATGGAGATCGAGAGGAAGAAGCTGCCCAAAGAGACGCTGGAGGAGCAGAAGCGCATCTGCGAGGTAGGGGGCGGGCCCTCCTCTCCGTGGGGCTTGGGCCTTCCAGGTGTGAGACCTCCACGCGGTCCTCTCACGCATTGAGTTTGCAAAGCCGAAGGACCTTCTCGGGCTTCCTTTGAGGTTCGGATGCGAAATGTCCTCCTGATTTAAGGGTGGCCGCCAGCGGTATCCGTAAGGAATCGGTTCCCTGTCCACCGGGAAGAGCCGTCTCCCCTGAACCCCTGCCCTTCTGCCTTTTCAGATGGCCGCCTACTTCACCCACTCCAACCTGCAGCCGGTCCACATGATTCTGGTCCTGCGCACGGCCCTCAACCTTTTCTTCAAGCTCAAGAACTTCAAGACGGCCGCCACCTTCGCTCGCCGCCTCCTGGAACTCGGACCCAAGCCCGAAGTGGCCCAGCAGGTGGGGGCATCCGGAGTGGGGCCGGGTTTCACACACAAAGGGGACTCCGAAGGGGTGTGTAGAGGGACGGGGAGGCTAGTTCCCTGAAGCTCCGAGGATACCTAGGCTGGAGAGGCTTCATTTCAGTGGCCTGAGGCCGATGGGAGTTGTAGTCCATCATATACAGAGGGGATGAAGTCCCCAACCGGAATGATCAAACTCGCTCAGAGAACATTCTCCAGATCCTTAGTGTCGCTTCTGACCAAGTCAGTGTTGACAGACGCACCCGGAGGGTTATCATGATCTTGTTGGCGAAGAATATTCATCTTAGTTGCAGCAGGCCCGGGTTCAAATCCCTGCCTGACGCTGCTCTTTCTCTGCCTGACCCAGCCCAGGTAAGGGTTTTCAAAAGCTCACCTTCCCACTTCCACACGTACAGGGCCCCCCCACGAGACTTTCTCCAAATGCTTTTAAGGTCTTCGATACGACAACTTTGTACCAAGGAGATCCGCCATTGAGTTGTTACGGTGGAACCTCACCTGATCCCTCAAGGCTGGGCTCAGGGCTCTCCTGTTCCAGCTTCCAGCTGCCTCCTTTGCCAGGCCACCCCTTAGATTTTCACCCCATTCCATGGAGTCTGGAAATCCCATCGGAGGGGCAGGTCGTCGGCTGGGAGGTGGTCTGTGGCAGGGCAAATGCACCACGCCAGGGTCTTGTTCCCTGGCACGTGGCGCTTCTGACCAAGTCAGTGTTGACAGACGCACCCGGAGGGTTATCATGATCTTGTTGGCGAAGAATATTCATCTTAGTTGCAGCAGGCCCGGGTTCAAATCCCTGCCTGACGCTGCTCTTTCTCTGCCTGACCCAGCCCAGGTAAGGGTTTTCAAAAGCTCACCTTCCCACTTCCACACGTACAGGGCCCCCCCACGAGACTTTCTCCAAATGCTTTTAAGGTCTTCGATACGACAACTTTGTACCAAGGAGATCCGCCATTGAGTTGTTACGGTGGAACCTCCCTACTCAGAGGCAGGCTACCTGTGCAGTCCAAGATGCTGGCCGCCACCCGGAAGAGCCGGGGTATTCGTGGCACCCTTCGGCTCTTCCTGATGCACCCAGGGCCGGTCCTGGGGAGAAGGAGGGGAAGCCACTCGCCTGATCCCTCAAGGCCAGGCTCAGGGCTCTCCTGATCCAGCTTCCGGACGCCTCCTTCGCCAGGCCACCCCTTAGATTTTCACCCCGTTCCATGGAGTCTGGAAGTCCCATCGGAGGGGCAGGCGGTCAGCCAAGAGGCGGTCTGTGGCTGGACAAACGCACCGCGCCAGGGTCTTGTTCCCTGGCACGTGGGAGAAGAAAAGAAGGGGGCCACCGTCCCCCACAAGCTTCGGCCAGATCAAAACAGCTCGTCTCGGAGGTCCCACGAGACTCCTGGTCGCTCAAGAGGAAAATGGAGCCTCCAGACTTAAAACGTGTCCCGTGTCTCTCTGCAAATGCTCAGGTTTTCCCCCCTCTCCCCCCAACCCTGTCTTTCAGACGCGGAAGATCTTGACGGCGTGAGAAGGGGGCCACCGTCCCCCACAAGCTTCGGCCAGATCAAAACAGCTCGTCTCGGAGGTCCCACGAGACTCCTGGTCGCTCAAGAGGAAAATGGAGCCTCCAGACTTAAAACGTGTCCCGTGTCTCTCTGCAAATGCTCAGGTTTTCCCCCCTCTCCCCCCAACCCTGTCTTTCAGACGCGGAAGATCTTGACGGCGTGCGAGAAGAACCCCACCGACGCCTACCAGCTCCACTACGACATGCACAACCCCTTCGACATCTGCGCCGCCTCCTACCGGCCCATCTACCGGGGGAAGCCGGTGGAGAAGTGCCCGCTCAGCGGGGCCTGCTACTCCCCGGAGTTCCGCGGCCAGATCTGCAGAGTCACGACTGTAAGTACCGCCATCCTGTCCTGGCACCGCTCCTGACCTTCCACCGCGGCCGGTCTCATGGCTGCTGAAAATGATTTGTTTGTTCACCATGGCTAGACATTCTGATTTCAGGGGGAAGAGTATTCCTACACTCGCAGTAGAATGAGGCGATCAGAAAAAGGAGGTGGACGGGCCTTTTTTATTGTATAAAAAAGGAACTAAAGCTTCTCCCATGAAAAAATATCCTTTGCAACTTGAACAATAGTAGATGTAGAGTTAGGAGTCCAGTGGATTCCCTGCTGCGCTAGATTTCTACTTGCAAGGAGGCTTCTCTCTGAAAATGGTGCAGTTTCTGTTCTTCCCCTCCAAACCTCTCCACCTCGCTTCCTACCGTGGGCAGGGAGGCTGGTCTCTCAAGCCATTGTGGATCACAGCCCTGGGTGCAATGAGTCTGCCTGGATCGTATCCTTGGCTGGGCGTTTAGCTGACTCCCTTCCTCCCTCCCTTTTGCTCCTCCAGGTGACCGAGATCGGCAAGGACGTCCTTGGTCTCCGAATCAGCCCCTTGCAGTTCCGCTGAGCTTGCCCCGGGGCCCTTATCTTTTTTCATTCAGCTTCTTCCTTGGCTGCCTCTTTCAAACCCTCCTCCCTTTTACTGTTGGTGGGCCCTTATCACTCCTCATGTCCTCTGGGGAGCACCTCAGAGGAGGCAAATCGTATCCTCCGGGCGCATGTACATGCATGCACGCACCTCACGGTCGCTCCTTCTGCAGCAGGCACCCTGTGTGGGTCCTTCTTACTTGCCTCCTGTCTGTAACTCCCACTTCTGGGAAATCAGTCCAGCTTTCTTGTACATTTCTTGGAGGGGGATCAAGGTTGGACGCCAGCAGCAACTGGAGCAGGAAAAGCTAAACCTTCAAAGAGGGTCCATCTCCCCTCAATGCTGGAGCAAGACATCCATGAAAGAAGCTCGGCTCCCCAGGGTTTCTTTCTGCCCTTCCCCTGAAGCCCCCACCCCATCTCCATCTCCCCTTTTTTCCTTTCTCAGACTTAATAAAATTAAAATGACATAGTGGAGAAAAGGCTCTGGTGTGTTGTGTTTAGATTCAGAGGCAGGAACTTCCTTTTGCTGCGTGTCTCAACTATTGAAAGATAATCAAAGTGTATATGATTTAAAATACAATTAGATTAAAACATGAAAATGAAAAAGATTAAAAATTTTCTGCTAAAATGGGGTTCAGGGATTCAGTTCCCTCATCTTCCTGGAAATCTTTGGGGCAACGTTGAAAGATGCAAACGTCTCAAGACGGTTTCCCAAGGGAGGGCAGGAATCCATGTATAATCGCTTGTCATTTCAAAACCTGTTTGTACACCATATGAGATGCGTAAATAGTTATCTGTCAAGTTCACAGTGCTTCTTAGTATTTGAACTTCACTTTGCCCAGTTGTCTCATAAGGTTTATTAGGGATGGGTGGTGGCTAAAAATAATTTGTACCTACATATATGCTGCCGGAACATAGAAGGCGAAACTTCCCGTTTTTAAAACAAGCCATTTTATGTCCTGCTGCTTTGGATGATGATCACAGCCATTTTCAGAAGTTCCTCTGAACCCTTTAAAAGGAAACATTGCTCTAACACCTCAGCAGGTACGTGTTTTAAAGAAAAAACACATACTCTGATCAAAACCTTGAGTAACAAGAGGGTCGCGCTGCGGTGGAAGAAACACCCTGGTTTCCCTGGGGCCCTTATTGAGCTTACAGTCTTTGAACCAGTAAGTAATGGAATATGCTGAAAAGATGTGTTTGGTCCCCAGTGCTAAGCTACAAGAGCTGAGGGGTGTGCCGGAAAATATCAGGACCGCCACGGTGAGACGCCTGGACTCTTGAGATAAGAGAAATTCTCTTAAGATCAGACTTGTCAGAGTAAAAGCAAGCCAATCTTTACAACAGCAGGAAACCCTAAAGGTTGGGACGTTTTTTCTGAAAGCTATACCGGAGGGGAACATGCCTGCCTCTCCGGTGGGGAGTTCCATGGTTAGAGAACTGTTCAAAGCCTTGAAATGATCTCCAGCTCCTCTCCTTCCCCTCTAGCGGCAACGGGCACAAGAAACCACTCAAGAGGCCATAATGGCGGTGTGTGGAGGACCAAACCCCATAGGCCTCGGAGGGCACTCGGTCAAGGAATCCGAGTGGCGCCCTTTCTAAAATCCATCCATAAAAAACAAGACAGATAAAACATACAACTTTTGTCTTTATTTTATTTCACCCTTACATTTTACACTGGGAGTGACAGGCTTGGGCATGTTCAAACAGACTGCAGAGTTGGGGAGACCTTTAAATTTTTCTATCCTTGGTTCCTGGAAGCCTCTACCGAGTACAGCATTAAAATGTGATTTTAAAAACCATCTAAAAAGAACTACACAGTGACAGCCACATGTTGTGGCTAAAAAGGATGCTGCAGTTGCTTCTGCTGGAACATCATCTCTTCGCTCTGCCACCATAAGAAAGATTGTCGATTGTTTCAGGAGCGGGCTGGCTATCTGGGGCTTGCCCGGATGAATCAAAAAGCTCTCCGGCCCCTTTCACTGGCCACAATCAATGGCTAGCCGGTGCTCTCCAGGCACCGCGAAGGGATGCCCCTACGGGGGGGCTTCACGACGGTTACGACAAGTCGCAAAGTGAGGTCTGCGCACAGCTCCATGTCGCTCTGTAGCAGGCTGCCCAGCTCAGAGAGGAACTCGTCCGCATCCAGGCCCCCTTTAAGCTTCACCGAAAACAAAGGGTCCCCGATGTCCCCACCCTCAAATCTCATCCGCACGAAATCCCCAGCGTCAATCTTTTGGCTCACATTATCGAGGACCTGCTGGATGGCACCGTGCAAGGCGGTTACCGCTTGGGCAAAGGAGGTTATGTTTTGTAAATTAACTAGTCGGAACTCCTGCCCAATATGACGAGCTCCGAATTTCTTTTGCTCCCATTCCCACGTCTTTAGCACTTCCGCATACACCTCCGGGGTTTCCTCATCAATCTCTTCAATTTCAGGCTCCAGCTCTTCGGAGGAAGGCTCGGGTTCTGGAGATATTTCTTCAGCAGCCGCAGGCCCTCGTCGTACACCCTGACGAGTTGGGGGCTTCCAGCTCTTCGGAGGAAGGCTCGGGTTCTGGAGATATTTCTTCAGCAGCCGCAGGCCCTCGTCGTACACCCTGACGAGTTGGGGGCTCCGGGGTTTCCTCATCACTCTCTTCAATTGCAGGCTCCAGCTCTTCGGAGGAGGGCTCAGGATCTGGAGAGATTTCTTCAGCAGCCGCAGGCCCTCGTCGTACACCCTGACGAGTTGGGGGCTCCGGGGTTTCCTCATCACTCTCTTCAATTTCAGGCTCCAGCTCTTCCGTGGAGAACTCGGGCTGAGGAGCTGGGGGCTCTCGTGCGGGGCTCGAAGGCAGAGGCCCAGATAGCCTTTTCCTGCCTGAAAGCAGTTTTTTAGCCCGGATTAACAATTTCATAGCTCTTTTGTGCCAGTATAGTTTCCCTGTGATTTGCTCTTTTTTCCCTCTTTTTCCAAACCGTTGGCCAGGTCTCCCCCTTTTCATTTTCCCTCCTTTTGGCAGCGGTTGTAACTCAGGAGATCCCAACCCTGTTTGGATTTGAGGGGTATTTGCAGAAGAAAATTGCTCCATTTGTTTAATGCAATCCCAAAGCACGTCCACATCAGGTAAGGAGTCCATCATTTGGATCAGTCTCTTTTCCCACTCCCTAGCCACACTAATCACACGAATGATCATTTTGAGTTTTTCTAAATAATCAACAGGCGGCTTGGCCTCTACACTAAACACCCCTGTAGACACATCAGACCCTGTGCTTCCAGCATTTTCAGGCTCCCCTTGTTTTTCCCCCCCCTTCATGTTACAAGGTCTCACTGGAACGTTGTCACCTGAACTCCTGGCATACTTGGGTCTTTTGTGGGTTGCTTCCATAATCTGATCTAAAAGAGAGAGAGAGAGAGAGAATACACATGGAAAGTATGCCTCTGTCTCTCCCCCCCACTGAATAGAATTTGCCTTATTGTCATTGTACATTACTTCTGTACAACGAAAGTAAATGCCATTTCCAATACATATACAGTGGTCCCTCGCATTGTACAACGAAAGTAAATGCCATTTCCAATACACATACAGTGGTCCCTCGCATTGCGACGTTGATTCGTTCCGAAAAAAATCACTGCTAAACAAAAGCGCCGCAATGCGAAAATAAAAAGCCCACAGAAACGCATTAAAACACGATTAATGCGTTCCTATGGGCTTAAAACTCACCGTTCAGCGAAGATCCTCCATAGCGCTGCCATTTTCGCTGCCTCTAAAGCGAGGAATCCCTCCCAGAAAACAGCGGGCGGCCATTTTGTTTACCTGGCGGCCATTTTGAAACAGCCAATCAGTTGTTAAAAAAATCATCGCTTTGCGATGATCGGTAAGCGAAACGGGACTGATCATCGCAAAGTGAATTTTCCCCATAGGGAACATTGCAAAGCGATTTCATCGCTAAACGGAGCGATTGCTATGCGAGGCTCCACTGTAATAATAAATCACAAAAGAACACAGCATCCATAACATGAAAAACAGCACATTACACATGAAACACATCCCTCTCATTCACATCCACATCCTTCACATTCAATTCCCATCACACAACACATTAATATTGTGTTATACAGTTGAATTCAATAGAGCTGCAGCTCTGGGATAGAAACTGTTTTTCAACCTATTTATCTTTGCTTTTGCTTATATTCTATTAGTACGTCTATAACAAACATACTAATATAACCTTGAAGTGAAGCTAAGGCCTACCTACCAGAAGCATTTCTCTTCCTTTTAACTTCGTTCAAGGTGGGAGATTCTGTGTCACTCCCTGCAAGAAGCACAGGATAGTAAAGTCCACACTGTTTACAATCATCCTTTACTACCCAAATCAGAAAACGATCAACACCCACGATTTACCATTGTCAGCTGGTTCCAGTTCTACAGGTTTGGTCTTCATAGAGGCTTCCTCTGCTATATTTATTTCAGCGTCAGCCTGCATATTGGGCTTGTTACCTAAAACAGAGAAGCATCTTATTACAGCTTGATGGACTGGCATCCTTGTTCTAAAGGACTGAACCAGGTGACTGAGGCTGAGGTCGGTGACGTGTAAAGGAACTTATTTACCTGACTGCTCAGAACTGCTTGTAGATGCAGCTTTGGACACTTTTCCAAATACAGCACTCGATTCCCTGAAGTCTTCCTCCTCAAAGACTTTTTCTATTTAAAAAAAGGACATACAGTACGTCAATATGTTTCTCATTTAAAAGGACCCCAAATGGCTTACAGCATTGTGAGACAACGTTTAAAGCTAAAAACGGTGGGTATACAACAATGATTTACATCAGAAAAAGACAGTATACCTGTTTTCAATGATTTACATCAGAAAAAGACAGTATACATGTATTAAAAAGGGACCAACAAATACCACTCTGAGAAATGGTACATGTAAGTAACTAGACCCAATCAAAGCAAAAAATGTAACTGATCTATATCTTTTTCAGGGGGTTGTGCAGTGGCTCCCTTTATTTGCCTTCCTGGGAAAAATGATGACTGGGGGAGGGAGGGCATTCCTGTGAAGCTGAAGGCAAGAAAAGGACCTTTTAGTTAGGGCCTGCCTTACATTTCTTTCCACCTTTTTAGCACCATACTGCAAGACTATGGACCTCACCTGGAGAACATAGCATTGGGGCCAATTCTGTGGCCCCTCTCTGGTCACAGGGAACCCCCACACACCTGTAGCCCCCCCAGTGACCTCTCACAAAGCCCTATGCCAGCCCTAAGCCCCCTCCACCCTCCCTGGAGAATTAGGGCCTGGGGCCAAGATGAGGGCCTCCATCCCGTAACTCTCTCTCTGCCGCTGCCACCCATGGAAGGCCAGGCAACTCAGGCCAAGCACCCCTCATTTTTTTCTGTGGGGCTTGTAGTCCCAGAAAAGCGGCCTCACTTCTCTTCCCCCCTCCTACCCCTCTTCCGTATCCTCTTGAGCTCCTTCCGAGCTGAGCCTCTTGTCCCATCAGGGTTCCCCGTTTGCAAATTATTATTTTTTTTTCTGTGGGGCTTGTAGTCCCAGAAAAGCAGCCTCTCTTCTCTTCCCCCCCCACCCCTCTTCCGCATCCTCTTGAGCTCCTTCCCAGCTGAGCCTCCTGTGCCATCAGGGTTCCCCTTTTGCAAATTATTTTTTTTTTAGAGTGGTCTTTTAGACCAGATGGGCGGGGTATAAATCAAATAAATAAATAAATAAATATTTTTTTAAAGCTGGAAGCTT